TTCCCACCGCAGCCTCGACCTGCTGGGCTCCGGTGATCCTTCCGCCTCAGCCTTCCAAGCAGCAGGAATTACAGGCATGAGCTACCATGCCCAGCTGATTTTTTTTTTTTTTTATTGTAGAGATGAGGTCTCGCTGCCCAGGCGGGTCTCGAACCCGCGGGTTCAGGCAATCCACTCACCTCAGCCTCCCAAAGGCGCGGGATTACAGGCTGAGCCACTGAGCCCGGCCCATTTTTACAGGCTGAGCCACCGAGCCCGGCCCATTTTTCGTTTCTGCGCCTGTTTCCTCCTCTGCACAAAGAAGATAACACTTTGTCTTGGACTTACACATTTCATGAGTCAAATATTTGTACCTCACACTTAGTACATGAATGTGTTTGTTAAATAAATAGAAGGAACCAGAGAAACGGCAGAGGGACAGAAAGATCAACATTTGGGCCCAGTGCAGTGGCTCATGCCTGTAATCCTGGCACTTTGGGAGACAGAGGTGGAAGGATTGCTTGAGCCCAGGAGTTTGAGACCCGCCTTGGCAACATAGGGAAACCTTAACTCTACAAAAACAAAAAATAAAAATAAAAAAATTAGCTGGGCATGGTGGCTTGAGTCTGTAATCCCAGCTACTTGGGAGGCTGGAGGCTGAGGCAGGAGGATCTCCTGAACCCAGAAGGTGGCGGCTGCCATGAAGCTTCAGTGAGCCATGATGGTACCCCCGCACTCCAGCGTAGGTCACAGTGCGAGACCCTGACTCAAAAGAAAGAAAGAAGAAGGAAGAGAACAGAGAGAACAGAAGAGAAGGGGCCGGGCTCAGTGGCTCAAGCCTGTAATTCCAGCACTTTGGGAGACTGAGGCAAGAGACTGATTGCCTGAGTCCAGAGGTTCGAGACCAGCCTGGGCAGCTTGGTGAGACATTGTCTCTACAATAAATCAAAAAATTAGCCGGGTATGGTGGCGCACGCCTGTAGATCCTGCTACTTGGAAGGCTGAGTTGGAAGGATCGCCTGAGCCCAGCAGGTCGAGGCTGTGAGGCTGCGGTGGCTGTGAGCATGCCACTGCACTCCAGCCTGGGTGACAGAGTGAGGCTCCAACTGAAACATCAACAACAACAACAAAAGAAGGTTTCAGAAGTGTTAAGCAACTTGCCTAAGGCCACCCCACTAACAGGTGGGAGTTGGGATTCAAACCAATCCAGCTGTCCCTAGAAGAGTGGAACTTTTTGCACTGCACCTCCACAATCGCCACCCTCTGGTCATCTCTGAGAGCTGAGACAAGAGGCAAAGGTCGTCTTGGTCGACCTCAGGGAGGAACACATGCTACCAGTGACTCAAATGGTCGCTGCTCTACTAATGTCTGCAAGTAACCGGAAACGCGCTGTGAGTATGGATTCTGGGGTTGCGAGTTTAACGAGCAGGCATATTCACGAGGAATCCACGAACAAAGAGGGTGGGCTCTATCTATCTTTTCTTGTGCATTTCCCTACTCTAGAATGTGAATTCCACAAGGAGAGCGACGTTTCGTCTGTTTTGTTCCCTGCTGAATCCCTTCTCCCTTAGACAGATTGTGAGACCTGGTGGATGTCAAGAAACATCAGTCCAAGCAGGGTGTGGTGGCTCAAGCCTATCATCCCAGCACTTTGGGAGGTGGAGGTGAGAGGATTGCCTGAGCCCAGGGGCTCGAGGCCAGCCTGGGCAACTTGGTAAGATCTTGTCTCTACAATAAACCAAAAAAATTAGCCGGGCAAGGTGGCGTGTGCTCGTAATTCCAACTATTTGGAAGGCTGAGGCAGAAGGATGGCCTGAGCCCAGCAGGTCGAGGCTGTGGTAGCCATGAGCATGAGTGTGCCACAGCCTGGGCGACGGAGTGAGACTCCGACTCAAAAAAAAGAAAGAAAGAGTCGGGCTCGGTGGCTCAACCTGTAATCCCGCGCCTTTGGGAGGCTGAGGTGAGTGGATTGTCTGAGCCCACGGGTTCGAGATCCGCCTGGGCAGGCGAGACTTCATCTCTACAATAAATCAAAAAATTAGCTGGGCATGGTAGCGTGCACCTGTAATTCCGGCTACTCGGAAGGCTGAGGCAGAAGGGTCGCCGGAGCCCAGCAGGTCGAGGCTGCGGTGGCCGGAAGCGGCCACTGCACTCCAGTCTGGGCAACAGAGTGAGACTCCAACTCAAAAAAAAAAAAAAAGAAAGAAAGAAAGAAAGAAACATTTGTCCAAAGAACAAAGGATGCAGAGAGATAGGATGAGCTCATGTCTGTTATTTCTTTAAATCCTTACACCAGACAAGGAGCAAGGTGCAGCCCTGTCCCACAGCCTTGACCTCGGTACAATCAATTCTCTCTCTGCGCCTTGGTTTACCAACGCGAGGCATTCTCATGAAGCGTGGTCATTTAGCGGATGGCAATTTCCCTTTGAAGCCACCACACCAGGTGCTATAACCGTGCACAGCAAAGACATCGTCATTGTCATTGGCAAAGAGAAGGGCCCAAGGGCCTAACTTCATAAATGAGTCAACTGAGCCCGCAAGACAGAAGCTGAGTGCACGTGGCAGTTATGGTAATCACGGTGATGGCGATGATCACTCCCATTTGAGAGATGTGGAAACTGAGGCATGGACAGGTCTGGGGACACACGGATGGAACAGAACCAGGATGGAAGCCCAGGCCTGGGGGCTTCCATAGCTGTCCTGCTCTGTCCGAGTGGACAGAAAGAGGGATGGGTGGCATGAGAACATCAGAGGCAGGGAAAGGGGAAACTGAGGACTGAGGTGTGGGAGGGGTTTGACATAAGTGAAGAATGGCCCTTGGGCCTCACAACTCACGGTAGCCAGCGTTGTTGACCACACAATCCAAGCGGCCAAATCGGCAGATGGTCTCGGAAATCAGCGTCTGAAAAGGAAGGAAATGTCCTTCGAATGAACAGGAGCGGGAGGTTGTTGGGAGCCAGCCTTAGAGGTCCACATGATTGACAGGGTCCCGGTGGGCCGAAGACCCCGGGCCGCAGGGCAAACCCGGGAAGCTGAGGCCCTTCTGTCTTCCACCTTTGCTGTTTGATACGGCTGAAGAAATTCTGTGCAGTCGTGGAAGAAGAAAACGGCATGTTTATGCGAAGTACTCACACCTAACCTGAGAATGTCATGGTTCATTTTCCCATTTTCCCACTATGCTGCTTGGTCTTTTCTAACATATGCAAGGGCTAAACTCTGAAGCACATCAAGAATGCTTTCTTTCACTTGGTTATAAGTTACTAGATATTGCTTGAATAAAAAGATATTAATATATTCACTCCTTATTTGATTTAGAATTACGCAGCTTCGTGTTCAGACATAAGGTTTTTTAGAAGCACAAGTTTATGGTAAGTTCATTATGAGCTCATTATAAGTTCTAACACTTATCTAGGAGTTATGTAGGTGATTTAGACTCTTTTGAAGAAAGTTGCTGGCAGTGCTATTCTAGACATGATAATTGTTTTATCCATGTATTAATCGTAATTGGTAAATGTAATATCATACAAGTTTATATAATCAATATTCATATGTATGAGGGTTGACAAAAATTATTAGACTCTGGTTATGTTTAACAAGGTTTTTACTTTGTGTCATTAATTACGTTTTAGTGCTATAGCTACTTTGAAGATTGTTTTAAGTTCATAAGTTTAAGTTCACACAATGATAAAATTGGTGCCTCAAAGATAATAATAATTGCTCCACTGCCTATCTTAAGACAAAGATGTTTTCCAGGAAGTTGCCAAGTATAAGGGAAAACAGCCAAATCACCATTATCCTAAACTTAAAAACTCATTGACAATTATACAACCATAATAATTTTAGTTGTGTTAGTTTTATTTCATTATGTTTAGTTGACTTCATATGTTTATTCAGAGTAAAGATTAGTGTATGTATTTTCACAGTAAGTGACTTTCATAGTTATTCTTTAAAAGCTAGCCACTGTTGTTTGGTCAAGTTAATGGGCTTCATATTCCTACTATCACTATGTACAATCTATAGTTTTGTATTAGTGATTTTAAGGCTTTTTTAATTAGACAAGTGATGCGGAACCAAAGTCAAAGTAAACCTTGTATGCATGATGTTTAGTGTAAGTAAAACTCCTTTTACACTTATCTCAAGACTCATTAACTGAAAGTAGATCGTGTTTTTGGCTTATTCGTTTCTTCTAAAGACCGCTAGATGGTGGTAACCTTTAAAACATAGGTACGTGAAGGAATTTTCTTTGTCTTGCCCCTTTTACAAATGCTATAAAAGCTTTCTGTTAACTAATAAAGGATGTCATCTGCTCAGGAAGCAGGTGTCCGGGAATATTGTGTCCGTCTTTCGTCTATCCGTCTCTCCTTTAGGAGATCTCACGACCTGGCAGAGGGGCTAGACCCCTTCAGGAGGTGCCCAGCCTGGGAGGAGCCAGGGCTCCCCAAAGCAGGGCAGGGAGGGGGCGGCTGGACTCGCAGCCACACTGCTGTCATGGTTGCAGGTACGGGGGTGGGTGACAAAGATCCAGACAGAGGGGAGAAGACAAAGACCCAAGAGGGAAGAAAGCAGAGATATACTGCTTGAAATAAGCAAATAAGTTCAGGTGAGGTGGCTCATACCTGTAATCTCCGCACTTTGGGAGGCTGAGGCGGGAGAATTATTTGAGCCCAGGATTTTGAGACCAGTCTGGGCAACATAGTGAGAATCCTGTGTCTACCTGCTAACACCTCCCAAAAATAGCCAGACATGGTGGTATGCACCCGTAAGCTAATCGGGAGGCGGAGGCAGAAGGATCCCCTGAGCCCAGGAGGTGGAGGCTGCAGTGAACCAGGATTGTCACTGCACTCCAGCCTGGGTAAGAGAGTGAGACCCTAACTCAAAAGAAAGAAAAACAGAGAGTGAGAGAGAGAGAGAGACCCAGACACAGGAGAAAAAAAACCTGTTGGCCCACTTTGAGGGAGTTGCTCTCTTCCATGCATATGACAGGTGTGATAAGAGCCTTGCAGGTGTGGGAGGTCAGGGAGGACATGTGACCTGGTCCTGAGAGCCAAGGGAGATCTTGTGTGTGTTAGGGGAGTGGGGGAGAAAGGGTGACACAGTGCTGAAACCTTTAGGATGGGTGCAATTGAGCCAGGAGAAAGGGAAGAGTAAAGGGAACAGCACGTGAGGGCAACTAGGAGAAAACAAAGGTGGGGGCAGGGTAATTACAGCAGGTGAGGAGGAGGGAAAGGACATTCTCTCACCTTCACCTCTTCTTCCTGAGTCACGTCACAGAGGATGAAGACAGCTCCAGGGAGCTCCTGCTCCAGGGCCCGGGCCCCGGACTCTGCAGGGAGAAAAGAGCTGGACCCCTGGGTCTGAGGGAGGAGGAGCTGGGAGCCTGGACACCGAGGTCTGAGGGAGGAGAGGCTGGGGGTCTGGACTCCTGGGTCTGAGGGCGGAGGGGCTGGAGTCCCGGACACTGAGGTCTGATGGAGAAGGGCCTGGGGGCCTGGACTCCTGGGTCTGAGGGAGGAGGAGCTGGGGACCCGGACTCTGACGGCGGAGGCTGGGGTGGGCCGAGGGACCCTCACTCACCTTCCTTGTCGCAGATAACCACTTGGGCCCCGCTCTTCGCTAAAGACAGAAGAGAACAGCTGACCCCGCCACCTTGGTAAAGGCCTCTGCTGCCCTCGCGTGGCCACCCGCAGCGAGGCCGATCTCCCTGTCCTTCCCCAGCCCCCCCAGCCCCCGTGACCCCAAAGTCTCATGATGATCCCTCGGGACAAAGAGCAGAAGTCCTGACACATATTCTCTCTGGCTACTCCAGGGGCCTGATGGGGATCCCCAGTTCCCGTCTGGGGGTTCTGGAGTAAACCCTAATCCCGTGAGAGACATATTCGCCGATCCACGGTTTGGGAGCTCAGGGGAAGAGGGTGACGGCCTTAGGAGACCCGGCGCAAACTCAACCCTGTCGAGGCACGTTCTTACATAGCGCGGCACGTTGGCTTTTATCCAATGAGAATCCGGACTCCGGTACTGGAGTCCCTGGTTTCCGCCCCCGTGGGCCCCCAAACCCCGTCCTTCCTCTCTCGGGGCACCACATCCCCATCGGCCACACCCCTGCTCACCGAAGGCGCGCACGATCCCGGCTCCGATGCCGCGCCCGCCCCCGGTCACGACCACCACCTTCCCCGCGCAGCTCATTGCCGCAGCCAAGGTGTGCGCGCCGGTCTCTCTCTGTCACTCGCCCTGGGTCTCTTTCCACCTCCAAAGTCCGGCGAGGCCATGGGATCAAGCCATAAATAGGGACTGGATCCTGGAAGCCCAGCCCTGGGGGGCGTTACCAGAAAGCCCAGCCCTGGGGGGCGTTGCCAGGGCCCTGGGAGTTTGTCCCCAGGCCCTCCTCCCCGAAACCCAGGAGTCCAGACCCCAGGCCCTCCTTCCTCAGACCCGGGAGTCCAGGCCCCCAGCTTCCCCTCAGACCCAAGAGTCCAGGTTCCCAGTCCCCTCTAACCTCAGACTTAGGGATCAGGTTTCCAGGCCCCTCACTCAGATCCAGGAGTCCAGACCCCAGACCCGGGAATCCAGACCCCAGCTCCTCCTCCCTCAGACCCAGGAGTCCTGGCTCCCAGCCCCCTCATGTCTTAGATCCAGAAGACCAGACCCCAGCGTCTCCTTAGACCCAGGAGTCCATATTCCCAGTCCCCTTCATCCTCAGACTTAGGGTCGGGTTCCCAGCCCCTCCTCCCTCAAGCCCACAAGTCTGAGGCCCCGGTCCCTTCCTCCCTCGGTACCTAGAAGCCCACGACTCTGGTTCTGCCCCTCAAGATCCCAATATCACAACCCCAAACGGACAGAAAGAGAGCTAATGACTAAAAGTTCAAAGTTTTAATCCAAATTTGGACAGTGTTGTGAAAAAAACAAACTTTGGCCGTAGAAACCACGCCCCTCCCAGGCCAAGGATGGAGACCAGGCCACGCCCCCAGAGGCCCTGAGTGGCCCCAGATCTCCGGGCGGTACCTCCAGGCCACGCCCTCACGCGCCGATTGGCTGCCGCCTTCGGGCGGGTCAGAAGCTGGACTGTAGCAGAGTGACTCGCAGGGGCCACGCCCCCTCGTCTGGGGTCAGGACCGGAGGGGCGGTCCCGGAATCCCACGCGGACTCCCAGGGGGCGGGGCCTCCGCCACGCCCACTGCCTCGGCGCGAGAACCCCGTGGAACCGGAATGAGGCACTGGCGGAGACCGGGGGGGCGGGGTCTCCCGGCGTGTGGGGTCCGATGCGGGCAGCGACGCAGGGGGAAGAGAGTCTCCCCGAGAGTCCAAGTTTCCACCTGGAGAGGACGAGTGGGGTATGAGAATGGCAAACTTTGGCACTTAGTCTTCTAGATTCCTAGGCCTTTCTTGCTTCCTTTCACCTGATTTCCTTGATGGAAGGGCAAGGTTTGATACTGACCACGGGAATAATGAGAACTGAAGTTCTCACTGCGGATCTAGGACTTTCCAGGCCTCCAGCTCCTCCTCTCTGACACTCCGAAGTCAAGATCCCCTAGTCCTGCGGTCCTCAACCCTTTTGGCATCAGCAACCGGTTTCGTGGAAGACAATTTTTCCAAGGCTGGGGGTGGGGTGGGGGAGGTCACCAGGCATTGGATTCTTACAAAGAGGGCGCGACCTAGATCACACGCACGCGCAGTTCACAACAGGGCTCGCCACCACAAAAGTCTAGTGCCGCTGCGGATCTGACAGCATACGGAGCTCCGCTCACCGCCATTCAGCTCCTGCTGTGCGGCCAGGTTCCTAACAGGCCACGGACAGGTACTGGTCCGCGGCCCCGGGGGCTGGGGTTTCCTGCCCTAATCCATTCCTCTCTGAGACTCAGGTATCCAGACTCCTAACCTCTTCCTATCCCCGCGCTCCAGTGTCGCGAGTCTCCGTCCCCTCTTGCCTAAGTCCTGCGTCTCCCAAGCTCTGCCCAGCTCTTTTCTCAACGAGACAAAAATTTCCCAGAAGCCCCTAGACGCCCTCCTATCCAGGACCCAGGATTTCAGGCCTTCAGCTCCCTCTTCTCTAAAACCCAGGAGTTCAAGATCCTCTGCCTCTCACCTGTCATCATTCTGTGCCACTGTGAGGCCTCAGTGGCCAGGGCTTGGGAGAGGCTGAGAACCCGCTCCCGGTGGCCTTCGGATGTCGGCATGTAAGGGGTGGCGTTCCTCGGACTAGAAAAAAAAGAGAAGATGGGGGCTGGGGGCTGTACAATTAGCCGGCAAATTGAGGACCGCGGGTCCGCGCGGGGTCTTCTGGGAGTTGTAGTTCCTAGCACATGTCTCTAAGGGACTTTAAACGTGTGGCCGGTCTCTTGCAGCCCCCGTGCATTATGGGATTTGTAGTCCCGTGAGCCAATTTTACCTGATTTCCTTGATGGAAGGGCAAGGTTTGATACTGACCAAGGGAATAATGAGAACTGAAGTTCTCATTGCGGATCTAGGACTTTCTTTTTTTAAACTTTTTAATTTTTAATTTTTTTCCCTCCCTTTCCCTCCCCTCCCTTTTTATTTTAGTTTAGTTTTTAGTTAGTGCCTCACTCTGTCACCCAGACTGGAGTGCAGTGACATGACCACAGCTCATGCAGCCTCGAACTCCTGAGCTCAGATGATCCTTCTGCCTCAGCCTCCTGAGTAAGCAGGGACTACAAGTGTGCACCAACATGCCTGGCTGATGTGTGTGTGTGTGTGTGTCTGTGTGTGTGTGTGTATGTGTGTGTGGAGACGAGGTCTCACTGGGTTCCTCAGTCTGGTCTTGAACTCCTGGGCTCTAGCAATCCTCCCGCCTCGACCTCCCAGACTGCTGGGATTACAGGCCTGAGTCACGGCTTCTGGCAGATTTGGGACTTTCTAATTTTGTTTCCAATGCTCCGAGAATCAAACGTCTCTAGGAGTTTTGCAACTATAGCTCTGTACTCAGGAGACTTTTTTTTTTTTTTTGAGTTGGAGTCTCACTGTCGCCCAGACTGGAGTGCAGTGGCCGCTCCTGGCCACCGCAGCCTCGACCTGCTGGACTCCGGCGATCCTTCAGCCTCAGCCTTCCTAGTAGCCAGAATTACAGGTGCGTGCTACCACGCCTGGCTGATTTTTGATTTATTGTAGAGATGAGGTCTCTCCAAGTTGCCTAGGTGGTCTTGAACCCATGGGCTCAGGCAATCTACTCACCTCAGCCTCCCAAAGGCACGGGATTACAGGCTGAGCCACCAAGCCCGGCAGGAGGCTTTTTTTTTTTTTTTTTTTTGAGTTGGAGTCTCACTCAGTCACCCAGACTGGAGTGCAGTGGCCGCTCCCAGCCACTGCAGCCTCAACCCACTGGGCTCTGGTGATCCTTCCACCTCAGCCTTCCAGTAATTGGAACTTAAGGCGCGTGCTACCACGCCCGGCTAATTTTTTGATTTATTGTAGAGATGAAGTCTCACCTGCCCAGGCTTGTTCAGACAATCCACTCACCTCAGCCTCCCAAACCCGCTGGCTCAGACAATCCACTCACCTCAGCCTCCCAAAGCGCTGGGATTACAGGCTGAGCCACCGAGCCCAGCTCGGCAGGAGGCTTTAATAATACATGATGCTACTCCCCTCCCTTTTGGCAAATTGATTTCCCTGCTCCCTTGACCCACCTTTAACCTCCTTACCTACTCCAGGACCCCGAGCTTCTGAGCCATTTCTGGGCTCCAGAGTGTCCTGGAACAGGCTGGAAAGGAATTGGGGCATTCGAATTCCTCACCTGGAAGCCCCACGTTCTCATTTTGAGGGTGGGGTAAAGGGGGTCAGAAAAGGGATGAAATTGTCCAAAGACCGGACAATGTTTAACTTCACCTGTGCTCCTGGAAAGGTGCACAGGTTAGCAAATCCCCCCACACCTGTGACTTGTCTAATTCCCTTCTATAAAAACCTAAGGGTACTCAGTTTCTCTTGCCCATGCCAGCTCTGGCATGTCTCCCTTTCTTTTCTCTCTTCTTTCTCTAATAAACTTTGTTTGAAAAAAAAACCCCAAAAACCTAAGGGACACCCTCCTGAGATACCTGAGACACTCTGAGGTACAGATCTGGGATGTCCTTTCTATGACAAGAACATGAATAAAATCAGTTTTCTTAATGGCTCAGTTTTTTTCTTTTTTGCCTTTGACAACACATACCGACTTAACAGAAAAACAGGACTTCTAGCCCAGACCTGAGACCTCCCCGACTCAATCCTCCCCTCACGCCCCCTCCTGCCCACCCACCACTAAAGAGACCAGGAAGCTGACTTTAGCACAAGTACAAGCTGGGGCGAATCTTGAAACTTAATTTAGGGTAAGGAGTTAGGGAGTATCCCCATTTTACAGAGAAGAAAACTGAGACTCAAACTAGGCATAGAGGACCCCATATCACCCTCTGCCCCACCCCCAGCTCTGCTCCCCTCACCCTTTGCTCCACATCAGGCTGGCGTCTGGCTGGGGACAGCGTCCTTCCCAGGGTGAGGAGCTGGGGGGAGGCCGGGCGAGGGAGAGGCCGTCCGCATTCCTGATTTCTGCGCATCCGCTCCAGCTGTTCCTGGGCACTCATCCGGGGCCGGGCCACGGGGGCCTGGGGAGATGAGAGACACCCCAAGACCCTAACTTGGGTCTCCTCTTCATCTCTTATCGCTAAGCCTCTTGGCCTGCTGTCCTGCCCTCTCTAGGAAATTCACAGTACCTCAAAGGGGTCTTCCCACACCCAAGGTTGATGCTGTCCCTCCCCTGCTCACAGTCCTCCCATGGCTCCCAAGCACCCTGGGGACAAAAGCCTTTGGGGACCTGTGTGGCCTGGTCCCCACGCCCCTCTCTGGCCTTGCTCTGTCAGCTGCCTATTTCCACCTGAAGTCCCAGGTGAAACACTCACTTCCTGGGCATAACAAGCTTCTTCACACTCTAGATCAGTGGTCCCCAATCTTGTCAGCATCAGGGACTGGTCTCATGGAAGACAATTTTTTCTTTTTGAGTCGGAGTCTCACTCTGTTGCCCAGGCTGGGGTGCAATGGCATGCTCATGGCCACTGCAGCCTCAGCCTGCTGGGCTTGGGCGGTCCTTCCACCTCAACCTTTCAAGTAGCTGGAACTACAGACGCACACCACTGCACCCGACTAGTTTTTGTGATTTATTGTAGAGACGAGGTCTCTCCAAGTTGCCCAGTCTGGTCTTGAACCCCCAGGCTCAGGCGATCCTTTTGCCTGCCTCTCAAAGTGCTGGGATTGCAAGCTAAGCCACCATGCCCAGTATTTTCTTTTTCTTGAGTTGGGGTTCACACTGTCATCCAGG